AGTAATAATCCTCTGATTGGCCAGATGTAAAGAAACATATATCTACGTCAAATCTACGTAAAACCTAAGTGTTTACCCTAAATTATAATGGGCATTCTTCATACCCTAAACAAAAGTATTCATTACTGATACGAGAATACAATCGTCTCTGACCCAGATATTGCAAGGTTTTGCCCTTACGAACTACAGAATCATGAACTTTGTACCTATTATGTTACCTACGAACAATATCAGACCTACAAGAGGAAAGCCTTCTATATAACAGGCCTTTCTAACATCCTAATAAAATGTTATTTAAGAATAAATCTATAAAAACCAGAGAAATATGAATAATCAAAAAAGGGGGAAATCTTTATAGTCCCATCTGTACTACAAACGGTCGGAGAGCGAGGCGGCGTGGCAGACGTCTCCAGTGGCTCTTGCGGGTGCAGGTTTGCCTTGGTGAGGTAACCAGGTAGCTGGCCCCATTCTGAGGTCTCCCGTTCCCCTGCAAAGAGGGGCAAGCGCCATTGCGGGACGGCGACTGGGGGTAGGGACTCCCCCGCAGAGCCACACTGATGTAGAGCATTTTGTGTTTTTCAGAACAGGAAACCATGCCCTATTTATTTTTAAACTCTCTTCTTTTCTGTTGAAGTTGTGTTCATGTCTTTATTTGTGCAGGGCTTCTGTGTGTGTCTTGTGTCTTATACACAAAACTAGGGTTGCCAGTTCTGGGTTGGGAAATAACTGGAGCTTTTGGGGGTGGAGTCTGAGGACGGCGGGGTTTGGGGCATGATGCGCCAGAGTCTGACTTCCAAAGCAGCCATTTCCTCCAGGCAAACTTATCTCTGTCGCCTAGAGATCAGCTGTAATAGCGGGGGATCTCCAGCCACCACCTGGAAGCTGGCAACCCTACGACAAAACGCAGAGAAATAACCCAGCTTTCACATCTACAATATGATGCAACTATATATCTAATTGCCAAGGTCCCCTCTGCGTGCGGATATCTAAATCGGCACATCTGGTGCACCGAGGGGGCAAAGAGATTTTCCTGCACACTTGGGGCACTCGCAGGGTTCCCTCTAAGCTGAGTTAGTGTGAGCTAGCTCACTGTTTTTTAGCCTCTGGCTCACACATTTTTGCCTTGGCTCAGGAAGGATGGCTCCAGAGCAAACTAATGTATGCAGCAGCCAAATCGCTCGCTCACAACTTTCATGCCGGTTGCTCACAAAGTAGAATGTTTGCTCACAGGACTCCACAGCTTAGAGGGAACATTGCTCCCGAGGTGCGCAGAAAAATCTGAAATGTAGAAAAGACTATTGGGGGGATTAGGGTTGCCAAGTCTACTTACCTTGGTGGCGGGGGAGCCTCGCCGGGCTCCAGGAGTTCTCTGGCTATGCGTGCGCGCGCACGCACCGCCAGCACATCACAGGAAGTGACGCGCTACGCCGCTCACGTTGGGGGCGTGGCCCCAATCGTCGGAGGGGTTTCCCCTCCAACGATCTGGGCCATGCCCCCAATGTGAGCGATGTGGTTGCGTCACCTCCAGTGACGCAACCACGCTGCGCTTCAGGGGGCGGAGTCCCCCCCGGGGCCCGATTCCGCAGCAGCGGAAATCGGGCCTCCAAAGCGGGGGTTTATCCGCCCCCGCCCCCACTTGGCAGCCCTAGGGGGGATACTTAAATCCCCCAAGTAAAAGAGCATTCCCTGCACATATGTAGCGAACGTGCTAGGAACTATGCCTCCCCACCTTTGCCAGTGTGGCGGGAGAGAAGGCTTGGCGAGCCTGGCGGCTAGGAGCCGCGCAGGCTTCGCTGTTGGTGCCGGGGGGCAGGGGAGAAGGCTTGGTGGGCCCAGCCGCTGGGAGCCGCGTGGGCCTCACAGTTGGTGCTGGTGGGGCGGGGGAGAAAGGGGTGCTAGTGGGGCAGGGGAGAAACTCACCTGCAGCTGCTTCCTTCTCCTCCACATGGAGCTCCCCCCCCCCGCGCGAGTATCGTGGGTCCCCGCTTCTTGTCTCTATACTATTAGCCACCCAATGCCCCTATTTGTGGATAGCCACGCAGATTGGGGCCACACAGAGGCTAAACAGATCTTGCCACAAACTTGGGGCACTCCCCAGGTCTGCAGAAAAACCTGAATACACTGTGAGTGGGTGGGTTAGATCCCCTGAAAAATAAAGTGGCGTTCTCTGCACACAAGACGCTGCTGCTGACGGGCTTCAGGGTGGACGATTAGGCTGGCGAAGGCTTGGTAATGGGGAGGAGATAAGGGATTCCCCCCCCTGCAAGTTTTGCAGGCCCCCACTTCTATAATGGTGCTTTCACACACACTGAATCACACACTTTCAGTCCACTTTGCAACTGGATTTTACAGGGTGAGATGGCAAAACCCACTTGCAAACAGCTGCTGAGGTGGACTGAAATGGCATTATTTGGCATGTGTGAAAGCACCCTTATTTGCCAACTCCGGGTAGGGAAATACCAGATTTGGGGTGCAGAGCCCGGGGATACCACATTTGGGGGAGGGGGACAGGACATCAGCAAGTAGGGTTGCCAAGTTTGAATTTCGCCGCAGCGGGGGACTCCCGGCTGGAGGCTGGAGTGCGCGTGCATCCACGTCGCCCGGAAGTGACGCGACCACGCCGGGCACGCTCGGGGCAGGGCCACGACCATCCGAGGGAAAACCATAGTTTCCCCTCAGATGGCCATAACCCCGCCCCCAGCATGCCCGGCGTGGTCGCGTCACTTCCGGGCGACGTGAACATCGGGGTGGGGTTCCCCCCGGGGCCCGATCTGCCGGCGGCGGGGAACGGGCCTCTGGGGCGGGGGCAAGCCTATCAGCAAGACCTAATTCCATGCACCCCATCCTCCAAAGCAGCCATTTTCTCCAGGGGAGCCGATCTCTGTAGGGTTGCCAGGCCCTGTCCAGGGTGGGTTTCCCCCCGGTTTCAGGGGCTCCAATCTGGCACTGGCTAGCTTGCCGGCGGGGTAGGCCTCCCAACCTCCAGGTGGCAGCTGGAGATCTCCTGCTATCACTGCTGATCTCCGGACAACCACGATCAGTTCCCCTGGAGAAAACGGCTACTTCAGAGAATGGACTCTATAGTATTATTTATTTATTTATTTATTTATTTATTTATACATTCGATTTGATATCCCGCTCGAACCCCTTGTCTAGGGGTCTCTGAGCGGCTTACAGATTTTTGGTGCTAATCACCGTTTTTCCCTAAATAGGGCCACAGTATGTATATGGGGATGGGGCAACCTACCGGCACCCCCTATGGTGGTGGTTGTAGTTGTTGTTGCTGTTACTGTCGGCTCGGGTCGGGTCTCTGGACTGGCGGGTGTTCTTTTCCCGGCGTTTCCGGAAGTGGCTGTCTTCTTTCTAAGGCGCGCGGCTCCGCCTTATACCTTGGAAAGGTCCCTCCCCTCCCCAAACCCCACCTTCCCCGGGCTCCACCTCCAAAAATCTCCAGGTATTTCCTAACCTAGAGCTGGCAACCCTAGGCAGGGGACGCCCCACCCCCAAACAGCCCCCTCCCATGGCGACAACCGAGATCACACGGAAGTGACGTCATCACACTGGGCACATTGTGCTGCGACCAGTGTTCCCTCTAAGCTGAGTTAGTGTGAGCTAGCTCACAGTTTTTTAGCCTCTGGCTCAGACATTTTTATCTTAGCTCAGGAAGGACAGCTACAGAGCAAACTAATTTATGCAGTAGCCAAATTTCTCGCTCACAACTTTAATGCTAGTAGCTCACAAAGTAGAATTTTTGCTCATGAGACTCCACGGCTTAGAGGGAACATTGGCCGCGACACTCTAGCATTTTGGCCAAAACTCTATGGCAGAGGTCTCAAACTCACTTGTCACGAGAGCCAGATCTGACATAAATGCCACTTTGTTGGGCCGGGTCATGTGTGCCATAAAATGTAACGCCGGGTACCAGAGATAGAAACTGTATAAAGGACAAGTAGTAAGCTCTTAGTGTATCTTCACTGCAAGGCCCCATGGGCTGGGAAAGGGGTGCAGAGGAAAACCCACATAGGTGGACTGGAGTGGCAGCAGTGCAGACGCTGCCATGATGCTTGGCTGCTGCAGAGGAGGTTGTTCTGCTGCGCTGAAGCTACAAAGGAGTGGCTCCGCCCCCTCCCCCCAGCACTTCCTCCCTTGCATCAGTTGCTCGCGGGCCACGTAAGCGCCTTGGATGGGCCAGATCCGGCCCCCGGGCCTTAACCTTGACACCCCTACTCTATGGTTGTTACCATGGGTCGGTTGGTAACCATAGAGTTTTGACCGAATTGCCAGAGCGCCACCATGTGCCATGCCCAGCGTGATGACATCACTTCCGTGTGACATCATCGTGCTGACAATGCGGCAAGCAGCGCTGTCACCAGGCCCTCCCCTCTCCTGGAAGGCTCCCTCCCATCCCCTTCGCCTGCTGGGCAAGGGGAGCTGCCAATCCTAGTCTGGAGGCCAGTTGTAATTGGGGGGGGGGTCTCCAGGCCCCACCTGGAGGTTGGCAACCCTGTTTATACTATGGAGTTTCGCTGTAAAAACGTATCTTTATATTTATTTTATTCCTTCAATAGTAAGACTTTTAATTAATCAATCAATCAATTAATTAATTAATTAATTAAGAAGCCCTGGCGTCCCCTCCCTCAGCCCACTCCCCCCCTCCTCAGGGTTCTCCTGCTTTTCGTCATTCAGTTACCATAACTGGGTTACAGCCCTCCTACCCTCGGGCTCCTATTGGCTCCCGTCCCCCCCATCCCTGTTTCTATTGGCTGGGAAGGCTGCCGGTTCTCCGTCGACCGTTTTATTTTAAAAGCCAGTCCCTCACAGGCCCGAGGACCGCCTCCTCTTTTAACCGCCTGCGACAGCCGTTGCCCAGAGCCGCACCCGATTGGCCGGCAGAGATGCGACCCGCCTCCCCTTCCGGAGTCCTGATTGGCTACCCGCCTTTTCGCTCAGGCAAGGGAGGGTGGGGCAAAAGCTCGGAAAGGGGGCGGCGGGGGCGGCGGCCATTTTGGCTCCGTGGAGAAAGTGACAGGCGACCGAGGAAGAGGGCGCCGCGGCCGCGGGAGCGCCTGAGGCCTCTCCTTTCTCCGTCCGCCCTCCCTCCTTCCTTCCTTCCCGCCATGTCGGAGACGCTCAGCGGCGAGAGCCGCTCCGACGAGACCGGCGAAGAGAAACAGGTGAGGCGGGGGGCAGGGAATGCGAGGGAGAGCCCGCTGGCCGACCGTTGGGGGGGCTGATTGGCTTCTCTCCGCGCCACTCCGCGCGAAACGGCCTTCTGATTGGCCGCCCGTGCGCGGTGCGCGCTGTCTATTGGCCAGTCGCCGGCTGACGGGGCGGTCTTTCCTGTGTTTAGACCGTTGAAACCATAGAGATGATTTAAAAAAAAAAAATCTTAAGAGTCACGCAGCGAGCCTGGACTTCCGATGAGCAACCGAATGCCTCCTTAGGTCACGAGCCCCCCCTTTTGGGGGACTGGCCAGGGACGAGTATCAGGGTTGCTAACCTCCAGGCGAGGCCTGGAGATCTCAAGACTACAGAGGTTTTAGGGTTGCCACCAGTGTTCCCTCTAAGCCGAGTGAGTGTGAGCTGGCTCACCGTTTTTTAGCCTCCGGCTCACACATTTTTGCCTCAGCTCAGGAAGGAGGGCTCCAGAGCAAACTAATTAATGCAGCAGCCAAATGGCTTGCTCACAACTTTAATGCCAGCAGCTCACAAAGTAGAATTTTTGCTCACAAGACTCCACAGCTTAGAGGGAACATTGGACTTGCCACCTCTGTCTTGGGAGATTCCTGGATATTTGGGGGTGGCGTTTTGGGAGCTCAGCAAGAATGTGATTCCATAGTCCGCCCGGTTTCCTCCAGGAGGAACTGATCTCCGTAGTCTGGCTACATGCGGCTACAAGCATGGACGGCTTCAAAAGGGAATGAGAGATAAGCATATGGAGCAGAGGTCCATCAGTGGCTATTAGCCACAAGATATAGATAGGGACTCTGGGGCGAGTGATGCTCTGTATTCTTGGTGCTTGGGGGGGGACAACAGTGGGAGGGCTTCTAATGTCCTGGCCCCACTGGTGGACCTCCTGATGGCCCCTGGTATTTCTGGCCACTGTGTGATACAGAGTGTTGGACTGGATGGCCCTTTGGCCTGATCCAACATTGGCATCTCTTATGTTCTTATGACCCTCCCTGGTCTGACCCAGCAGGGCTCTTCTGATGTTCTTCTCAGGGGAAGGCCTCAGCCTCTCTGCCCTGTTGTTGGCCCTCCAGAGGAAGTAGTTGGCCGCTGTGTGCGAGAACTCCTGGCTCCACCTGGAGGATAGGAACCCTAAAAAGATCGGGTTTCCCCCCTGGAGAGAATGGCTGCGTTGGAGGGTGGACTCTATGGCATTATGCCCTGTGAGGGTCCCACTCCAACTCCCAGTCTCCACCAGGCATTTCCATGCCTGGAGTTGGCAACCTTAGGCCATTGGCCGAGGAGGGCTCTCCCCTATGCTCCCTCTAAGCTGTGGAGCCTTGTGAGCAAGAATTCTACCTTGTGGGCTACTGGTATGAAAGTGGTGAGTGAGCCATTTGGCCGCTGCATAAATCAGTTTGTTCTGGAGCCCTCCTTTCTGAGCGAAGACAAAAATGTGTGAGCCGGAGGCTAGAAAACTGAGCTGGCTCACACTCACTCAGCTTAGCGGGAACACTGGCTCTGCCCACTGGATTCATGTCCGTCTCAGCCAGAGCCCAATGGAGGAAACCAGAGTGGTGCTGCAGATGCCGAGTGGGCCAGTCCACCTCTCGTAAAAGTCTTATATCTTTTAGAGCCAGTTTGGTGCAGTGGTGAAGTGCGCGGACTCTAATCTGGGAGAACCGGGTTTGATTCCCCACGCCTCCACTTGCACCTGGCTGGATGACCTTGGGCAAGCCGTAGTTCTGATAAGAGCTGTCCTTGAAAGAGCTCTCTCAGCCCCACCTACCTCACAGGGTGTCTGTTGTGGGGAGGGGGAGGGAAAGGAGTTTGTAAGCCACTCTACACCTTTGGGTAGTGAAGGGTGTGGTATAAATCCAATCTCTTCCTCTTCTTCTTCCTCTTCTTCTTTTTCGGCAGCCAGTTTGGTGTAGTGGTTAAGTGAGCAGACTCTAATCTGGGAGAACCGGGTTTGATTCCCCACTCCTCCACTTGCACCTGCTGGATGACCTTGGGCGAGTCGTAGTTCTGATAAGAGCTGTTCTTGAAAAAGAGCCATTTCTGTCAGAGCTCTCTAGGCCACACTTACCTCACAGGGTGTCTGTTGTGGGGAGGGGAAGGGAAAGGAGTTTGTAAGCAGCTCTGAGACTCCTTTGGGTAGTGAAGGGCAGGGTATAAATACAATCTCTCCTTCTTCTGAACCTTGTCGTTGGGTGTATAGAACAGGGCAAGGACTTGTTCTGTGGCACTCCAGAAGGCGAGACTAAATCTACTGAAGGAGGGGAGGCTTCAGTTGAACATTAGGAGAAACTTTCTTATGGTAAGTGCGGTTTAACGATGGAATCCCTTGCCCAGAGTGTGAGGGAGGCTGTTCCCTCGCTGTCTTCAAGCGGAGGCTGGACGGCTGTCTGCCAGGAACCCTTCAGCTCTCAGTTTCCTGCAGCTGAGCAGGGGGTAGGCCGAGATAGCCTGTGAAGTCCGCATCAGCCCCGTCTCTGTGGCCCTGTGATTCACAAGCTGCTCTGTTCTGTTTTGCAGTGTTGCCAGGATTTTGAGGGCGAGACAGGCGTGGTGACCGAACATCTGTGTTTGGGTGGCCGCGACGGTAGACAGGACAGCAGCTTCCTAAGATGCGTTTGCCTGCACCTTTAAACGTGGGGTTAAACAAACAGGGGTCGCGTAATCCCAATGTTTGCTTCTGTGCTCGGAAGGTCACATCCGAGTTTCGAATGAACTTAGAGCTAGGGCATTGCACTGGCCATGCAAATGGATGAATGAGCCCCGGATTTATTCCTTGACTGGCTGGCCTGATTCATCTCCCTTTGAGCTCCTTTTTCACTGCAATGTTCTCTCAAACACGGGGATATCATCCTAGTTACTCTCCCAGACGAGAAAGGCCGGTGGACGCAGGATTACCTTGTGTTGTCGCATGACTGCACACGGACTCCTTAGCAAGGGAACATTCCCAGCAATTCCTGATTTTTTTCTGCTGAACATGCGAATGCTAACCCATGCCGCCCTAGAGATATGTGGGAGTTGTATGTGTGTGTCGTCAAGTCACTTCTGATTAATGGCAACGCTCTGAATTAATGTCCTCCAAAACATTCTATTGGTAACACCCTTGCTCAGGTCTTTCAAACTACAAGGAAATTAATAGCCCACGCTGAAAAGTGTACCAGCCCTGTTGAGCAGTGACACCTGAGTGAGTGATCTGTAGCTCATTGGCAGCCTACTATTTTGATTTACAAAGACATGTGCACGTGGGTAGCCTGGAAGGAATTGGTAACTCGCCACACCTGGCTACTGATTGGGGGGGGGGACAACGACACACACACACATCCTGATCTGCAGCAGTTTCCTAAGGAGGAATGTAATAAGGGGATATTACAGTTTGGTGTCGTGGTTAAGTGCGTGGACTCTAATCTGGGAGAACCGGGTTTGATTCCCCACTCCTCCACTTGCACCTGTCTGGATGACCTTGGGCAAGCCGTAGTTCTGATGAAAGCTGTTCTTGAAAAAGAGCAGTTTCTGTCAGAGCTCTCAGCCCCACAGGGTGTCTCTTGTGGGGAGGGGAAGGGAAAGGAGTTTGTAAGCCGCTCTGAAACACCTTTGGGTAGTGAAGGGCGGGGTAGAAATCCAGTCTCTTCCTCTTCTTCTTCTTTTGTGTTGAATGGTGGGGGGATAATTTCAGAGGGTAGCTATCAATGCTCCCTCTGAGCTGTGGAGTCTTGTGAGCAAGAATTCTACTTCGTGAGCTACTGGCATTCAAGTTGTGAGTGAGCGATTTGGCTGCTGTTCAGCAATTTCATGGAGTTCCCACGAGTTCTTGTCTTGTGAGAAAGGGAGAGGAGGGTGGACCCCAAGCTACCAGCCTGTCTTTTCTCCTCTTCCCCTTTCTGCAAAAATTTGGGCTTCATGGAAGATAAATCTATCAATGGCTACTAGCCATGATGAAAGAGGGGAACCTCCACATTCAGAGGCAGTCAGTCTCTGAATCTTAGAGTCAGGAGGCAGCATCAGGGGAAGGCCTCAGCTTCTCTGCCCTGTTGTTGGCCTTTCAGAGGAATGGGTCGGCTACTGGGTTAGACAGGATGCTGAACTGGAGGGACTACTGGGTCTGATCCAGCAGGGCTCTTCTTATGTGTCCAGATCAAGGAAGGTGGTCGTTCCACTCTGTTCTGCTATGGTCAGGCCTCACCCGGAGTCCTGTGTCCAGTTTTGGGCACCGCAGTTTAGGAAGGATGTTGACAAGCTCGAGCGTGTTCAGAAGAGGGCAACCAGGTTGGTGAGAGGGTTGGAATCCATGTCTTACGAGGAAAGGCTGAAAGAGTTGGGTCTGTTTAGCCTGGGAAAGAGAAGGCTTAGAGGGGACAGGATTGCAGTCTTCAAGTATCTGAAGGGCTGTCATGTAGAAGATGGAGCAGATCTATTCTCTCTTGCTCCGGATTGCAAGACTAGATCTAATGGGTGGAAATTACAAGGCAGCCGTTACCGGCTAAAGATCAGGAGAAACTTCCTAATTGTAAGAGTGGTTGAGCAGTGGAACAGACTGCCTCGAGAGGTGGCGGATGCTCCTTCGCTGGACGTTTTCAAGCAGAGGCTGGACGACTATCTTTCGGGTATATTGTAGGTTTGTGGGGCTCTCTTTCAGCTATGCTCCTGCAAAGTGCAGGAGGTTGGACTAGATGACCGGCAAGGTCCCTTCCAACTCTAACATTCTATGATTCTGTGTATTTATGAAGGCCTCGGCCTCTCTGCCCTGTTGTTGGCCCTCCAGAGGAACGGGTTGGTGACTGGGTGGGCCAGGATGCCAGACTAGATGGACTATTGTTCTGATCCCGCAGGGCTCTTCTGATGTTCTCCTCAGGGGAAGGCCTCGGCCTGTGTGCCCTGTTCTTGGCCCTCCAGAGGAACGGGTTGGTGACTGGGTGGGCCAGGATGCCAGACTAGATGGACTATTGTTCTGATCCCGCAGGGCTCTTCTGATGTTCTTAACTTGCTCAAG